CAACTGTTGGGCTGAGCGTAACTACTCAACTGTGCGTTTCTAAGACAAACAGCCAACGGTTACCCAACAACTACGACTTATGAACGCGGCCATGGTCGACTGCAGCTAGGATTTTACCCTTTTTAAATGGAAGTGCTTTGAAGTTAGAGAGAATAACTTGATACAGAACCGGACGATCCACATATATATCCACTTTTTAAATCAATTTATTAATTATTATTATTTTGATAGCGTTGGGAGTATAATTTGTTATACAGTATATATCGTCGCTCGAAAAAAGAGACAGTGTAAATGCCACATACACTATTATTCGATAATTGCACCATTGGATAGGCAATCCTTTAATCTATTAGAAAAATCCTTAGTTTTCTTAAATATCTCTTTAGCTCACTAATTTATTCCCGGAAACTGAAATTGTATCCGTATGGTTCCTAATGGTTTATAAAAACTTCCAATTCGTTTTTCTCAAAACTATGCTTTTCATGTTATACTATTTCATTATTCCAGCGGCGATATATAGGAAAAACCTTGAAAGTTAGGGGGGCTGAAATTATCATGCAAGCATTTAGAGCAGTGATGGCCAAAATTGTATTTACTAAGTATTAAATTCTAAGTACAAAAGTATTTAGGTATTTTGTGTTGTTGTAAATACCAAAGTACTATCTACTTAGGTATTTAGGAGCTGCTAAATACCCAAGTACTATTTACTTAGGTATTTAGGAGCTGCTAAATACCCAAGTAAACAATACTCAGGTATTTAGGTGGTGCTAAATACTCAAGTAAAAAGTATTTAGGTATTTAGGAGCTATTAGATATTAAAGTAAGAAAAACTTGAGTATTTAGGAGCTGCTAGATATCAAAGTACAAAAGACGAAAGTATTTAGTAGGCGCTAAATACTCTGGTCCAAAGTACTCATGTGCCTTGGGGATGCAAAATACTTTCGCTAAAGTACCAAAGTATTTAGTCGATGGGTAAATAATTTCAAACTAAATACTGTATAATTTAGGAGAAATTTAGAGAATTAACATCCCACCTTACACTCACCTCAACTTACTTTACCACAACTCACTTCACGTCTCCTCAAATCAACTCACCACATACAAACTCACCACACCTCACCTAAACTCACCACACCTACTGCTACACCAAAATCCTCCAAATCTTAACTCACCATAGTTGAACCCATCACACCCGTTCTCACCACACCTCACCCAAACTCACCACACCTCAATTTGAGAACTGTTGCGGGATTTGAGAGATTCCTCAGACTAAATCAGGATTTTCAAGTCTATTTCTGGGTTTTCGGGACTATTTCGGGATTTTCGAAGCTATTTCGTAATTTTTTAGGAATTTAGGGTGTGAGATTTGCGTAATTCTCGGAACTAATATCGGGATTTTCGAGACGACTTTCAAAATATTTAGGTATTTTTGGAACTAGTTTCGGGATTTTTGGAACTTTCGGTATTCTCGGAATTAATAGCGGGATTTTCGGGAGAATTTCGAGATTCTCGGGATTTTTGGGACTCCTGTACTATTTTTGGATTTTAGGACTAATTTCAAGTTTTTGGGACTTTCGGGACTGTTACGGGATTTGCGGTACTTTGGGACTTTCGGCAGCATTTTGCAATTCTCGGGAGTAATTTCCGGGTCTATTTTGGACTTATATCGGTCCTTGGGGACTATTTCCAGATTTTTGCGATTATTTCGATTTATGGAGTTTTCGGGCTTCTCGGGAATATTTTCGGGACTGTTGGGACTTTCGGTGCTATTTAGGGATCTTTGGGACTAATTTCGGATTTTTGGGGCTCCCGGGACTATTTCGGGATTATCGCGAGTAATTTTGGTATTTTTGGGACTTTCGGGACTTTTTCCAGAATTTTGGGACTAATTTAGGATATTTGGGACTTTCAGGTCTATTTCGAGGTTGTCTTGAGTAATTTCGGGATTTTTGGGACTTTCAGGACTGTATCCAGATTTTTGGGACTATGTCGGGATTCTCAGGAATAATTTCGGATTTTCGGGAGAATTTCGGGATTTTTGGGACTTTCAGAACTATTTTTGGATTTTTGGAACTAGCCGGACTATTTCGGGATTTTCGGGCCTAATTTAGGAAATTAGGGACTTTCGGAACTATTTCAGGATTTTTGGGACTATTTCGTAATTATCGGAACTGATTTCGGGATTTTTGCGACTTTCGGGAATATATCGATTTTTTTGGGACTTCTTTTGGATTTTTTAGACTTTCGGGACCATTTCGAGGTTTTCAGGAGCATTGCGGGAATTTTGAACTAATTTCGGATTTTCGGGACTATTTCTCCATTTTTGGGTAAAATTTTGGAATTTTGGAACTTGCAGAACTATTTAGGGATTTTTGGGACTTACTTCGGACTTTTACAACTTTCGGGACTATTTCGGGATTATCGGAGCTAATTTCGGGACTGCTGGGACTTTCGATGCTATTTAGGGATTTTTGGGACTCTCGGGACTATTTCGGGATTATAGGGAGTAATTTAGGTATTTTTGGGACTTTCAAGTTATTTCCAGATTTTTGGGACTTATTTTGGATGTTTGGAACTTTCGGGTCTATTTCGGGATTTTCGGGAGCAATTTCATGATTTTTGGGAATTTCGGGAGTATTTTGGAATTTTTGGAACTTTTGGGACTATTTCGGGATTCTCGGAACTGATTTCAGGACTTTCGGGATTATTTAGGAATTTTTGGGAATAATTTCGGATTTTTGGGACTGCCGAGATTAATTTGAGATTTTCGAGACTACTTTGGAGCTTTCGGGACTTCCGGGATTCCTGGGACTAGTTTCGGGACTTTCTGAAATAGTTTCGAAAGTCTTAAAGTTCCTAAATTAGTGCCAAATTCCCAAAATGGTCCCGAAAGTCTCAAAAATCAAAAAATAGTCCCGAAAGTCCCAAAAATCCGAAATTTGTCCCAAAAACCCTAAACGGCCTCAAATGTCCCAAAACACTAAAATTAGGCCCAAAAACAAAGATAGTCCCGGGAGTCCCAAAAATACTGAGGTAGTCTCGAAAATCCCGAAATTACTCGCGACAAACCCGAAATAGACCCGAAAGTTCCAAAAATCCAAAATAAGTTCCAAAATTCTGTAAATAGCCCCGAAAGTCCCAAAAATTCCGAAATACTCCCAAAAACCCCAAAAATCCCGAAATTAGTCCCGAGAATCCCGAAATTCCCAAAATTGGATCCGAGACTCTCAAAATAGTCCCGACAATCCTGAAATTAGTCATTATGAGCCCGAAAGTCCCAAAAATTCCGAAATACTCCCAAAAACCCCAAAAATCCCGAAATTACTCGCGACAAACCCGAAATAGACCCGAAAGTTCCAAAAATCCAAAATAAGTCCCAAAATTCTGTAAATAGCCCCGAAAGTCCCAAAAATACCTAAATTTCTCCCGAATTTCCCAAAAATCCGAAATTAGTCCCAAAAATCTGGAAATAGTCTCGAAAGCCGCGAAAATCCCGAAATTACTCCCGATAATTTCGAAATAGACCCGAAAGTTCCAAAAATCTTAAATTAGTCCCAAAATTCTGGAAATAGTCCCGAAAGTCCCAAAAATACCTAAATTACTCCCGATAATCCCGAAAGTTCAAAAAATCCGTAATAAGTCCCAAAATTCTGTAAATAGTCCCGAAAGTCCCAAAAATACCTAAATTATTCCCGATAGTCCCGAAAGTCCCAAAAATCCAGAACTACTATTGAAAATCCCAAAAGGCCCGAAATCAGTTCCGAGAATCCCGAAATGGGCCCGAAAGTCCCAATAATTCCAAAATACACCCAAAATTCCAAAAAATACCGAAATTACTCCCGATAATCTCGAAATAGACCCGAAAGTTCCAAAAATCTGGCAATAGTCTCGAAAGTCCCAAAAATACCCAAATTATTCCCTTTAATCCCGAAATAGTTCCGAGAGTCCCAAAAATCCCTAAATAGCCCCGAAAGTCCCAAAAATCCGAAAATAGGTCCCAAAAATCCCGAATTAGCTCTCAAAATCCCAAAATTCCTAAATTAATCCCAAGAATGGAGAAATAGTCCCGAAAGACCCAAAAATCCGAAATTAGTTCCAAAAATTCCGAAATACTCCTGAAAACCCTGAAATGGTGACGAAAGTCTCAAAAATCCAAAAAAGACCCAAAAAAATCGATATACTCCCGAAATCCCCAAAAATCCCAAAATGAGTCCCAAGTAAACCGAAATCAGTTCCGAGAATTACGAAACAGTTCCGAAAGTCCCAAAAATCCTGAAATGGTTCCGAAAGTCCCATAGTTCCTAAATAAGTCCCAAAAATCCCGAAATGATCCCGAAAGTCCGAAAAATCCAAAACAAAGTCCCAAAAATGTCGAAATACTCCCGAAAATCCGAAATTATTCCTGAGAATCCCAAAGTAGTCCTAAAGTCCCGAAATTACTCCCGACAATCTCGAAATAGACCCGAAAGTTCCAAAAATCCTAAATAAGTCCCAAAAATTTGAAAATAGTCTCGAAAGTCCCAAAAATACCCAAATTTCTCCTGATAATCCCGAAATAATCCCGAGAGCCCCAAAAATCCCTAAATAGTCCCGAAAGTCCCAACAGTCTCGAAATTATTCCCGAGAATCCCGAAAACCCCATAAATCCGAAATAACTCCCAAATATCTGGAAATAGTCCCGAAAGTCCCAAAAACTTGAAATTAGTCGTAAAAATCAAAAAATAGTCCAGGAGTCCCAAAAATCCCGAGAATTCCGAAATATTCCCGAAAGTCCCGCTATTAACTCCGAGAATCTCGAAAGTCCCAAAAATCACAAAACTAGTTCCAAAAATCCCTAAATATTTTTAAAGTCGTTTCGAAAATCCCGATATTAGTTCCGAGAATCCCGAAAATCTCAAACAAAGTATCCGGGAATCCCTAAAGAATTACGAAATAGCTTCGAAAATCCCAAAATAGTCCCGAAAACCCCGAATAGTTAGTTTGACGAATCTCTCAAATGCAGAAACAGTTCCCAAATTGAGGTGTGGTGAGTATAGGTGAGGTGTGGTGAGAACGGGTGTGATGAGTTCAACTGTGGCGAGTTAAGATTTGGCGGATTTTGGTGTACCAGTAGGAGGTGTGGTGAGTTTAGGTGAGGTGTGGTGAGAACGGGTGTGATGAGTTCAACTGTGGCGAGTTAAGATTTGGCGGATTTTGGTGTACCAGTAGGAGGTGTGGTGAGTTTAGGTGAGGTGTGGTGAGAACGGGTGTGATGAGTTCAACTGTGGCGAGTTAAGATTTGGCGGATTTTGGTGTACCAGTAGGAGGTGTGGTGAGTTTAGGTGAGGTGTGGTGAGAACGGGTGTGATGAGTTCAACTGTGGCGAGTTAAGATTTGGCGGATTTTGGTGTACCAGTAGGAGGTGTGGTGGGTTTAAGTGAGGTGTGGTCAGTTTGTATGTGGTGAGTTGATTTGTAGAGAAGTGAGTTTGGTATCTAGCAGCTCCAAAATACTCAAGTTTTTCTTACTTTAATATCTAATAGCTCCTAAATACCTAAATACTTTTTACTTGAGTATTTAGCACCACCTAAATACCTAAGTATTGTTTACTTGGGTATTTAGCAGCTCCTAAATACCTAAGTAAATAGTACTTGGGTATTTAGCAGCTCCTAAATACCTAAGT